TCTCATTTACTTAAACAGCAGACTCTAAATGCCCTCTGGACTGATGACTCCATCCCATATTTCTCTTTAAGGAAAGAAGCTGTGATGGAGAAAGGCAGATAAAATTGACTAATTGGCTGGAATAATTGAACTGTCGAAGTCATGTACTAGTTTACCTTTGCTGTACATGCACTTTTTATTTAAAATGCTTTTAACCCTTAGCTTAATAGGTAAGATGCATTGACTTTAATTAAAAATGTTTACTAAGTAAACTAAGGGTGATCACAGATAAGCATTTATCAGAAATCTCTAAGACTTGCAATGTTGAAATCGGCCCCAAATGAGTATGCATCGGATATAGTGATACATTAGGTCATGTCATGTTAAAATGCTGCTTAAAATATTCCTGTTTCAAGTGCTGTGAGGAATTAAAATTCAGAACCATTGAAAAATGAACACTGAAGTGATGGCCAGCTGCAGGAGGGCAGCAGGGCTCTAGTCTCCACAGGTAGACGCACAAGGTGAAGCAGTCTAAGCTTTTGGACCGAGTAGTGACATGAAGCAATTACTTATTTTTTATAATACTTTCTATAAACAGTGTAGGTTCTGTGACCTTTCTCCCCCTCCCTCCTGTAAAGGATGTTTATTAAATACAAGAATGAAAGAATGAAACACACTTTTTTCTTTCTTTGAGCTAGGTGGCCACAGTATCTAATAAAGTGAGCAATACCAGTGCTGCAATTAATAAATTAACAATCAGATCTGTGCTCAGCAGCTGTGTATCTTCCCATTTAGTTAGGGCAGGATCCTGACTTCTGCTACACGTTATCCAAAGGTGAATTGTTTCTTAAGAACCTCCTTTGCCCTGTGTATAGGAGCAACCAAAGAGGCTGCACGGTGCTTGGGAACCGGACTCTGTGGCTTCCTGAACATTTTTCTAATCCCACCCCCCCCTTTTTTTTTCTCGCTTGCTCAAGTTATGTAATTCCTTGATGTTCTTTTCACTATTTCGATAGTGACTAAAATTTACTATCATTACTGGATTCCTGC